CTGGACAGGAGAGTGGCGGCAGCGAAGTTTGCGCGGACGCGAGGGGGGCATTCTGGACCAGCAGCACTCCCAAACCAATGAAGAGACTTATTTTCCAGGTGTTCGGCGTGGGGGCGCTGTTCAGCGAACTTGCAGCATGGGTCCTTGCAACGGTACCGTGTGCTATGCTGGATTCTGCGCTTGCGAAATATTCCGGGGCACTCGTGGGGGGGGCGACAAGTTTGCGCAGGGGAGGGGCGGGGCGGGGCCGCTGGATACAACCGCAAGCGGCAAGCATCCAGGCAGGAACGAAGTTGACAGCGCTCGGGGAAAGACGGCTAAAGTGGCACCAATTATGGACAATATACACAACGGAGTGCGCAGGGGTCGTAGCACCAGCATTTGGGCCAGCCATCATCAATGAACAAGCTGGGGCCAAACGGCCAGATGGAGGGCTTGCGAACAAGAATTACCTACCCCTGGGCAAGACCGCGCAGCAATCCATGAAAGCATTTGCAGGGGCCGACGAGGGCTTCAAAAGGTGCGCCGACTGGGAGAACGACGTCTCCTGCCTCGCCCCTGTGTAAGCAGCGGACAGACTGGGCCGACGCGGGCCCGACAGCCATTGGAGGGGGAGGCACGGCCCGGAGAAGAAAATGAGAAAAGGAAGCGGGGGCGGCCACGGAAGAGGATATGTTGGCGTTGCGTTGGCGCGACTACAGTTGGATTATAGACCGCGGAGGAAGTTTGCTGCCGCCTGCGGCACAAGGCGACAGTGGCCCCGGCGGCGCGCGGAAGGGAAGTGTTCAATGCTGAGCCACTTGTGGCCTCCACTATCACGAACAACCCGTGACCCTGGTGCGTATCACTTTTCGCAGGCAGGAAACCAGCGATCGACCGCGTTGTAAGAGCAGCTGAAAAAGCACGGAAAATGCAGCCCAGATGTGCGCCAACGGCCACACCAAGTTCGAAAAGTGTGCGCGCGTGTGCGTATGTGCGTGTGTGTGTGTGTGTGTGTTCTGTGTGCGTGTGTGTGTGTGTGTGTGTGTGTGTGTGTGTGTGTGTGTGTGTGTGTGCGTGGGGGAGGGGCGAGCTGGCGCGTCTGGTCTGTGAACGCGAAGCTCGCGGGGCCCCAAGAACACGTCCGAAGGCATCGCGGAGGACTTGGGCGAGGGGTGCACCCAGACGGAGAAGGGGCGCGCCAAGCCGGATGGACCGCCTTCACGGATGTTGGCGCAACGGAACTTCGTTGGCAAACGGCGGTGACGGACCCGAGAAACAAGCAACGGGCGGACTTAGAGGAGGGCCGCCAGAAGGGGGGGCGGCAGCGGCGGCAACGGCGCAAACGTGGATCACGGGATCAAGAACCTGCAGAAGTTGACCCTGGAAGCACGCGGCAAATCTGAGGGTTGGCCGACGCCGCAGGAGTTCTTCCTGATAGACCCAAACAAGGATGTGCTCCAGAAGGCGATCACGCGTTCAGAGCGCCAGACAGCCACGAATGGGGAGGGCGGGAAGGGGGCTGCAAGGGCATCGTCTGCTACGCGACAAACTCGGCACCGAGCCCGGGGGCGACCCCACCGCAGTCGATAGCCCGGCAGATGGTCGAGGCGCGGGCGTGCGGGGGCAAGCTTGGGGGCATCGCGTTTATCGCGGTGCGCGCCATGATCCACCAGGGCGGGGGAAAGAGTTCTAGCTCGGCACCCGCGGGGGTGGGCGAGACCCGAGAAAGCGGCGGAGTCGCAGCTGTCCGGGATCGACCGCAGGCCGTAGAAACTTGCGCAGACAAGGGGGTATGGGGAGCAGCCAGCGCGGCAGAGACCAGACATCAACGCCGGGGGCCTGTATCGGGGACTAGAGCACTGCCGGCGAGCGGAAGTGCCGACGGAATCATCTACCCGCCGAAATGCAGAGAGCAAACAACAGCAAACGACAGGCGAATGGACCCGCGCAGACTGGAAAACCTGACGCGGCCATTTATCCTAGGGGGCGAATGCAGGAATTATCCCAGATGGCGATGACGCGATGGAGAGGGATCACGGACGAGGGCAGTCCGCCTGGATTGGCAGGAGTAGCGGGGGGAAGGGCACAACGCACATAGAAAGCGCGAACAATGATTCACCGGGGGAAGGGGGCGCGACGATTGGAATTCCACGATTGTTACAAGTAGAACGCGCGATGGAGTGGAGTGAAAGGGTGCAACGGGGGCGACGGGGCCCAGCTGGCGCGCGTAAAAGGTCGGTTCGGAGGAAATTGGGGGATCGGACGCCAGACGCAACAGAGCAGCCATGAGAGGACGCCAGCAGGAGGCCGGCGAGAAGGACAACGGGCAGTCGCGCATTCCAGGCGCGTCGACCGCGCCGCGAAAGTTGCGGCGCTAGCTGTGGAGAGCCGCGCGAAGCTGACTGCGAGGGCCAGGCGCATTGCTCGCATACTGACAACCTGGCGCACCTGCCGAACGCGCTGAAGGCGCGCGAATCAGGGCCAAACTCATTGCCAACCGACAAGTAGAACGACGCGCTCAGGGATCGCCTCATCGAGAGCCTCAGTAAACATACCGAGATAGGCGCGAAAGGCTTAGCACTCGAGCAAGGCGCGCATCCGGCGCGACGGGGCGGGCGACCAGAAGAGCACCTGCGGGCCCTGGGCGGGCGATGGGGCAGACGAGTTGCGCGGCGACTTCGCGGGCAGGACAGCGGAGAGGCACGCCGCTGCCAGTTCTGCCGGCGACGCCCCGCTGCCTCGCGGGCGTTCAAACGCTGGCGACGGGAAAGGGGGCGCGTGCGAAACATTCCCCGAACGAACAAGGGCGTGCGTTGATAGCGCAGATGGCGCAGCCGCGCGCGGGGGGGGGGTCCTCTGGCGCGCGCTGCTTTCCATTGATCCCTGGGTAATTCGCCGCCGTGCTCTGTCGCATCTGCGCGTCGCGTTGCATGTCTGTTGTAGTCCTTGGCAGTAGACTGTTCAATTGCCGTGCAGATGCGAAGCGAGCGCGGCCCGAACGGGATTTCGCCCCTGCGCGAGCACGAAAGCCGGGTCGCACTGGCGCGATTTTTTTTTCGCGCGAACGCGAGACTAGTTCCGCGCGGACAGGGAATGAGGCGCGGATGTGCCAACGACATGCCGCCCGAAATTATGCAGCTCTGCGCGAGCTCCAGCGCGGAATGCACTGCGAAATGCCGCGCGAAATTGTCCGCGCGAAATTTTGGCGCGAGACTCGGGTGGTTCCTGGTTTTCGGGGGTATTCGCAGGCGCGGCCGGGCGCTCGCAAGATGTTCCGCGGAACAAATGTGCGGGGCCTTTGCGCGCGGCGGATCTGGGGCCGTCTCGCGCCGGCAATTTCGAGCGAGCAGGTTCGCGCGGGCAACTTCGCGCCCCTGCGTTTTTCCCCCCGCCACCCATGCTCGCGGGCCGGCGCTTGCGAGCTAGGTTGTGTTTAGCACGGCGACGACGTTGATGGGGCGCGTCGCTGCTGACGCCGACGGTCGCAGTGCCGATGGTTCGTGGTAACGTAGCAATGATGAGAAGAGAGCGTCGCCCAGCGCCCGCGCCGTTTGGCGGGTTTGGGTCACGAATTTGGGAGCGATCGGGGCCTCGCCATCCTCCCCCTCTGAAGAGATACGGTCAGACATTTTGCCTGTGCGTGTCGCGGAACCGGTTCTGGCCCACCACTGTTCGGCGCGACGCGCTATCAACGTCCCACTCCCCGAGCATTGACGTCCCGAGCTTTTCCCAGCCTCCCGCCCCACGGAGCGGAACAGAGCGACAATCTGCTTGCAAGGCATAGCGTGTTGTTGGGGCCGCTGCTGCGGCTAAGCACAAGTCCCCGACCGTCAGGAGCAGGAGGTGGAGGAGAAGTAGGGGGATGATGAGGAGGAGGAGGAGGAGGAGGAGGAGGAGGAGGGGGAGGAGGAGGAGGAACTGACGAAGGAGGCGGGGGAGGAAAACACATGTTCGTCCTCCTCGTCCGTCTCTGCGCCCGCCCCACCCTGCTTAAAATCAGCTGTTTGCGTTCCGCCGCGCGCGCGCGCCTCTCTGGTTTGTCCGCGCTCCTCGGTTGGCGCAGGACAAGCACAGGCAGGACCTCGTGAACTGGATCAACGCGACCGACAAGAGGGGAGGGGTGCCCAGACCTCATCCGCCACGGAGCAATCGAAACTGTAGGTTCGTAGCAGCATTTCGTTAAAAGGCTTCTGATGATGGCGAAAACGTGCAATGGAAACCTATGCCAAGGAACGCCCTGCTTGCCTCCAGGGTGCCCTGGGTTTCTTTGGTTTCGATGGTTTTTGCTATGAAACGCGTGACGTTCCCACACCAAAAATCAGTGGACGTCCTGGGGTCTCAGGGTTGGGTTTCTTGTGGATGGTGTCTTGTGGTCGAGCTCCTGCGGTACCACAGAGGAGTCGAACAGGGGGCGTGGGGAGCACTAGACCGCCTTGTCCGGAAGCCGGTGCGGCATCTGATCAGGCAGCCGTTTCGCTCGAGAGATCTTCATCGTTTATTCAGGACTTGTGCCCTCGCTTCAATAGGGGCTACATTGTTGGTCCAGACGGCCACGATCTTTTGTACAGTGGGGTCCCGACCACAAGAAACCTTCCACGAGAAACCCAACCCTGAGACCCCAGGACGTCCATAGATTTTGTATGTGGGATCTCATGCCTTACGTAGCAAAACCATCGACATCCAAGAAATCCAAAGCACCCTGGAGGCAAGTAGGGTGTTTCTTGGCATGGGCCTCCACCGCAAAAAAAAATACATGCCCGTGCTCTTACCCCCCGTCCTGGCTGCATCTTGCGTGCATTTCCCAAGAATCCTTGTTAACTTCTAAAGATGTAAGTTCGACCTCCTTCTCTTCGACCCGCCTCGTCCTCTTAGCTGCAATCGGGGTGCTTTGCTGGGGCAATTTTTCCAAGGGTTGGGCCTCTTGGGGGCGCTTTCGGACCGCAGTCCCGTCAACGAGCCGACGCTGGATGAATGACTGGCCCAGGGGAAGGGGTCATACCTCTACACATTCCTCGTTTTCCCCTTTCAGGGCTTCCTCGGAGGCCCTCGTCGTCACCGCTGGATTCGCCTCGAAATTCTGGTCAGAACGCACCCCGTGAGAGGTCTGGGGAGTATCGGTATCGGCACCCTTTGGTTTCCTCAGTCAAGAGTTCCAGGGGACACATCATTGACGGCGGAGGTCTGGGCAGGGGGATGGGAAGGGGAGATCGCGACGCGGAGAGGAAGGCGGAGGGCGAGGACGAGACGGGGGAGGAGAATCAGGAGGAGGAAGAGATTAGAACGAGGAAGGAGGAGAAGTTGGGGCAAGAGGGATGGTGTTTAGCGAGGGCGAGAGGAGGGTGAGGACCATGTCGCAGCCGATGCACACCATTTGTGTCGCAATGCGTTCTTCCGCTCCCAAGCCCCACCCCTCTCACCTGGAACCGTCCCCCCTCCTTTCCGAGATCACCACCCCTTTTCCGGGTTTGTAGGGAGAACCGCTTTCTCTTTCCGTGCCCGGCTGTTCGGCATCCGCTACCTCAAAGCCCCCCGCCGTCGTCGAATCCACCGGCATTGTTGCAATCATGTTTGGCTTCTCCTCCGCCGCGCATGACTTTTGGACTCAGCTCGACCGCATCCCTCGTTATGGTGCGATCGTGGAGTTGCAAAAGCGGCAAGTGGTCCTACCGGCCGTGTCGGCTTTGCGGCACCCGTTGATTTCGCCAACGACGACCGCCGCATCGCATCGGGCAATTTTCAGTTGTCTCTCGTCCGTTTTCAGGGTCCCAGGGAACACTACAATCGGCTAAACCGGCGGCATTGATGTGCCGTGAGCTGAGGTCATCGCAGCAGAGGTTAGCGATTTTGTCACGAAGGTTTCCAATGACCAAAATGGCAAGGCTCCCATGCATATGCTGTGCCGCCTTCGCGCCACTGTCTCCATACACTGAAGCAGCAAGATGTCTATCGATCAACGCATTCGGGCCGCAAGGCAGTTCAGGAAAGCTTGACAGGCGACCGCGTTTTTGAGCTTCACATGAGTGACGACGATGCTGCCGTCGACATCGTGGCGCACGCAAGGAAGGACGCACCCAACCTCATCGGCAAGGCGAGGACGGCAACCACTGACGTGATCAAGAGCTACCCTCGCATGGCGACCGACCCCGAAATGTCTACGGAGAGCACGGGCGCGTACAACAGTATGGCCAACGCCTACAGCAAACGAGTGATCAACGCCCTCGATGTTGTGACTGCTGACGATGCCGAGGGTGGTCGCAGCGAAAAGACTGCAACCGCTGGGGCTCTCACAGAAGGCCTCCCCGTTGCCACTGCCATTGGTCTGCGACTCCAGACCATGAAGTTTGAGGTGGACGTCGAGGTGGCGCGTGCATCTGGTGACGCGGCCAACCTCGTCGACGCGTATCTCTACTGGTTCATTGTCGATCTCCTCTTCAATAATGGAGCGCATTCCGCCTTGGCCGACAATGCTGACATTTTGCGGCAATTCTCCATGGCAGCGTCCATTCAGTGGGCTTCACAGGCTGCCCGTGTCAACCTCGCCCTGTTTGCATTCAAACTGGCCAGATTGGCCACTGGCCATGGCGATGTCGATGCCGACGCTGCAAATTTGGCGGCTACGCCGGCGAGGGCGGCAGCTGGCCGCGCTGCCGAGAAAAAGCGTGCGCATCCTTAGCCAATGTTTGGAGCGCGGTTCGGGAAGTCTTTGCGCGAACATGTTCGCGACAGCTGGCGCAGCTGCAGATTTCGGCGAAGGTGTAGTCATGGTGGCCGCTGCAGCGTTCGCCAAACACACTGCTTCAACTATCCCTACTTCGGGCGACGCAGTTGTGGGATCTTTTGGCAATGATTCAGAAATCCTGTCTTCGGATGCCATGGAGATTGAGGTCGGAAGCCCCATATCAAAGTCACGGCTTGCAAGCGCGATGGTCAACAGAAGCCGTGCGAACTTTTGGCAACGGCCATGATGCGATGAAATCCAATTTCGACCTCGGCAAGACCGCAGCACTTGCCTTTATATATTTGGACGCCAAGGTGCCAGAGAACGACCCCAGCCGCTGCGTGGCGGTCGAGTGGAGCTACACTGTTCCCGCGGCCTTCACCATCGATGGTATTTTCATCGGGGCCCTTGCATCATGGTCGTCGCCGGGTTCGATTGCCCATCTTCCGCTCGTGGTCGGCAAAGCCCCCGCGAGGGCTGGAAAGGCGGCGCCCGGCCTGCCGGCCGACCAGCGGCGCGCGCCTTTCCAAGAGCATATGGGGCGCGCCCTGATGCCGGCAGAAGTTGGGGCGCCGAGTTTTGGAGCTTGCGCCGCAGAAGAGCGCCGCGTTCGAGCCGACCGCGGCCGTCGCGGCCAAATGGCCGAGAGCTTCGGCGCAGCAGCCAGGGCCATTCCCCGCTCGAGGCTGCGCGCGCGACTGCAGTTCTGGAGGTTTTCAAAGACGTCTTCACCCCCGTGCCCGGCAGGGATAATCAAATGGCCGGGGCGTCGAAGCCAGCCACCTGGCGGCGGGGCTACCGCGCGCTGGAATGCACCCCAGAGCACTCGGGGCCAGGTCGCATCGGGGATCGCCGGGGAGGCGGGCGACCGCGCGGGGGCGCCCAGCCTCAACGGACGCGCTCGCGACGGCCTCGCCCCAGGGGGGGTGGGGCCCCATGAAAGACGATGGGCTTTAGGCCGATAGCTTTCTTCCCGCGTCGGCGCCGCGTCGGCGCAACTGCACCAGTTTTCGTTCGCGCGCGTGCGAGGCTTTTTCTTTCTTTACAAAATCATGTCCTTAGCTATGGGCCTCAGTAAACTAACGTCGAGCGAAAAATGCCCCCCCCGCCTCGCCCTCGCCCTTCCGAGCCTTCGCCGCCTGGCGCGCGTTTCTCCGCGCCAGCAACCGGGCAAACCGACCTGGTCGTGTTCTGGTTCCGTCGTTGTTGTTCGGGGTGGCCTCGCGTCTGAACGACGTCAGCGGCGCCCGTCAACTGGGGACAGAAAGTAATGCTTGACAGCGCAGGGCCCGAGCAGTGAGTTAATGCGTCGTGGAGATAGCATCTACGCGGCGCACGCCGCGCGGCGAAAGCAACGCATGGCCATTGCAAGGTCTGCGGTGTAATGGGCGGGGGGTTTAAACCATGCTGCGCGAGCTTTGCCGCGCGCGTGGTAGATGCGGCGCTGGCCGCGCGGCGCGGGCTGGAAGTGACGCACATGCGTCGCGCGAAGCAGGCCGCGGCCCGCGCGGGGCCCGGCGCCGGCGGCCGCGGGGCGCGCGCAGCCCAGGGGGCGACTCTGGCGCGAGAGCGCGTTCACTTGTCGTTGAGAGCCACTTGGTCTTTTTTTCCCAGGCCGCGGCCCCAGTGAGGCGCTGCGCGGGCGGCCGCGGGCTGCGCGCAGGTCGGGGCGCGCGCGGGGCGCAGGGGCGCGCCTTGTTTTACGGGCCGCCGCGCCGTCGCTTCGGCCGCGAGTCTCTCCTCCACAGCGACAGAAGCAGCGCGTGGATTTCAGCCGCGGGCGCGCCGGGGGCTCCGCGAGGAGGAGGCATGGGTGAGAAGGAGGGGGGAAGGAAGGGGCGATGGGGGGAACAGCGAGGATGGTGTCGGGCCAGAATCGCGCCGCACCCTCGATGTCTGGCGCCCCGCCCCCCCGCGCGCAGAGAATTTCCGAGTCGGGTGGGGTCGCCCCGTGATCGAGGTCGCGATTTCGGGGTTGCATGGCCGCGGGGGCGAGGGGCCCCGCTGGCCCCGCCGGCGCGCTCGCGGCTAAAGACCTGCCGCCGGGGCCCGCTTCATGCGACATGGCAGCGCGTGTGCGGGCTTCTTTTCCGCCCCCGCCACTCCGCCTGCTGTCCGTCGCCCGATCCAGCGCGCTGCCTTCTTAGCGTCGCCGAGGCGCCGCGGCCTCCGCCCCCGCGCCTTCCCCGCCGACCCCCGGCCGCCCCCTTCCGCCCCCCTTTCAGCATTCCACATTTCCCCCCGCGCCCAGGTGCCTAAATTGCGATGCCGCTCTGGAGCCTGACTTGTCGCCTGCTCGCGCGGCGCTGACGGCCGCGCCCGACGCGCCGCGGCGGCGCGCCATATCTTCGGAAACTCTTGCAAGGCGACGTCATGTGGCACCCTGTCAGACGCGGGGCGAACCCAGGGCGTCGGCAGGCGCCGCGGGAGCAACGTGGGGCGATCAAGCGCGTTTTTCGATTTTCGAACGCGGCGGGCGCCCCCGGTCAAGCGGCCAGCCGCGCTCGCGCCGGCCTTGCGCACCAGCGACGACTTGAGGCAGCGAGCGCCCGCTTTCGGGCACTCTTGGCGCGAGGCCCCGCGGCCTTCGGCCGCCAGGGCTCGCGCGGTCGAGCTCGCCCGGAAGCGCGGCGTCAATGCCGTCGCGGCGGATGTGGCCGCCCATTGCAAACGCGATTCGGAGCTCGACTAGGTCGCGACGGCCCATTGGCCGAAGCGCCCGGATGGGATATCATGGCCATATTGGCGCAGAGCGCCAGGGCAGTTTCCCGCGGCGTTGCTGCAGATGGCCCAGAACATGGGCATTGCGACCGCTGCCAGAAACGCGCCAGCGCCGCGCGCGAACCGCCCGAGCGCCGCAGAGGAGATCGCGCGGAGGATCGCACGGTCTTGGGCCGAATTCGAGGATGACGCGGCCGCCGGCGAGCTTCGACCCGATGTCAAGGCGACGCAAGCCGAAATGATTCGACGTTCCGCCGTCTTGCCATCCTTGGGCGGCGACCGCCGACAATGCTCCTGCATATATCCGACGC